TTTGGTTTGCTACACTATCAAAGGGTTTTGCCACTTCTAATTAATTTCTGATATAGTTACCTTGGGCTGTGTTTAGTCTGCTATCGATTAATTGATTTAAATTGTGAGATGGTAAAGTAATATTTCGAATTGTTAGCAAGAAACTAGGAAGGAAAACTACTGAAAAAAGTCATATATCATCATAAAAAAAACATATATTACCTCATAACCTTACCGTAAAAGAAGAAAATATTTATACTATGAAATAAACCATAGATTTTGATATACTAAATGATAATGTCTATCATATTCAAACAAAAATCGCTTTGTTTTGGTTATATGTAAACTTACCTATTATCATCCTTTGTAAATATAATATGAGTGTTGTTTTTTTCTTTTATTATACATCTAATTCACCTATACATGTTCATGGGTAATATATAAAGGAATACTTTATATTGTCAAAAAAAATTGTACTAACTGTTAACACAATTTATATGAGAATAACATAATTAAAAAAGATATAATATGGTTCCATATGACATTTTCGATTGTATGTATGTATGTATGTAAGTTTTTTTTTGGCGAATGGTAGTCTCTCATATGTACATATATACCTTTTCATGTTTTTTGGACAAATATTTCTCTCATAGGAGGTGGGGTTTGTGTATGTGCATTCATAGGGTGGGTGTGCACACCTTCATATGACCGCTTATGATTGCCTTTTACATTGTTAGTTAAAGAAAATACTTTCAAGAAAATTGGTGAGAGTGGCATGAAGTAGCGCCATGGCAGCGTGGCTTCTTCGTCAACCTCACAAAGAGTGGTCACTACATATATGCATATTTTGAAAAAAAAAAAAACCTTAGGACTACAAAGAAAGAGACAGAAAACTACCAGACGGGGTGGACCATATATGCACTCTTCTTTTTTTTTTTGGCATCTCTTATGCATATACGTGCGAGAGGGATTAGTTGCTTCTTAGGAGCGAGGGCTTACATGAATCAATCTAATTTAATGGTTGAAAATAATGGATTCACCGGTTTAAGTGCACATCGATGGCTAATTGTTTTGTTTTCCCTTATATTTTTTCTTAAATTGTCTCTTATTTATTAGAGCACCACATGGCATCTTATGAGTGTTTGTAGGAGCATAGGAACACTATTACTCATACTCACAATCTACTTGTAGTCAACTATTATTTATTATTTATTGTGATTTTGTGGCATCCTCGACTTACCTATGATTTATTGTTAATAGTTGCCCACTTAGTATCTTCCTTTATTTTTGGTGTTTGATGTCAACTAATTATTAAGTGCATTGTGTATGGATATATCATAAGCAATATAACTTGACGATTGGTGACACTTGTTTGTATATAGAACTTATTACATAGGATTTAGCGGGGACATACGATTGATATATTATGTACTATTCATGATTCACAAAGTATATTATATACTACATATTTACTTTTAGTATATAAGTAATAAATTTATGGTTAAAGTTCTAAAGTATTTATCGGATTGGCTACTCCGTTATTTATCGTGACCACGTTTACCGAATTGCTAAATGGTGTGTATTTTACAAAAAAAAATTTATTATAGAAGTTTTCTAAAAAAATAAAATCCATTTTCAAGTTTGTAATATTTAATACTCGATTAATCTTGTGCTAATGACTTGTGTCTTTTCGCGTGCCCAGGATAAGCTAAGTCAATGAGCCAGATTGAACGAAAGCAAAGTAGCAGAAAAAGGATATTGATATGGTGTCAAAAGAATATATTTGATATTCAAATTTCAAATAATATATGAATAGAGTAAACACATAATACACGAAAATACATTTATGATAAATTTAGTAACATCATTTTGCCATATCAGTATTTTTTACAGTTGGGAATGAGTAATTTTTGAAAATTCTACCCACAGTCGAAGTTGTTTTTATTTTGTAAAATGTAAGTCTAATTTAACTATCACATAATCTATACTTTTAATCTATTTATATTTTTATAGATGTTTCGATGACATGCGCCTAATTTGAGTATTACTCGAGGTAGCATATATTTTTTACAACTTAAAGCATAGTTAATATGGGTTTAAATTATTAGTTTGGTTTTCCATTAATCTAAATGAGAAGAAAAAATAAGGAGGTGGGATCCGACGTGTGTATGTACCATACATAGGAACATATTTTTTCTTAAGTAGGAATGCCTGTGTGTACGTAATGTACGTAGGTACATACTTTTCTTAAGGAGGAATACCAACGTACCTACCTGCATGTATATTTGCCAGTAGTGACATTACGATGTGGGCCTTTTTACAGATAAATTTAATTAGTAATTTTTAAGATAGATCTAATGGTTGAAAATAATAGGTCCATCAAATTAAATGAAATCGATGGTCGAATGTTTTGCTTTTTTCTTGTAATTTTTATGACTTATTAGAGCACCACATGACGGTCTAGGAGCGTTTACAGGGTACTATGTAGTGGATTAGAAGGGTTTGTAGGAAGTTTATCCTCTTGATTACTTTTTATCCCTTTTCTCTTTATGAAAATATTTGCAACAATAATTTTTAAATAACCACAACGTTCTAAATTATATATTTATTTGTAACAATATATTTTAGATCGTCATAATTTTTAACTTTTAAATCGTACGTTCATTTTTTATCTATTTGGACCATTGTGTTATTTATGATAAAATCACAATTGGAATTTTGACGTATGTTATCTACTTTACTTGTAAAATGTATATTCTTCTAATTTCTATTTACTATCCCCTTGAATGACATTCAAACATGTATGAAAAATTATAAAAAGAAAGTGACTATATATTATTTCATCTTGTACCACTTCACTGGCATACATAAATAAAATAGAAAGAGACTATATACTGTTATTGTTAGATCAACTTTTTAAAGCGTCAAAAATAAGAAGAATGCTCGCGCAGCTGAAAACGTATATTTTTAAATCATATATTTTTATTGCAAGTTTTTTTTACCATATTTGTGGAGTAATAAATTTTGTGGAGTAATATATTAAACATGTCTCTTCTTATCATAAGAAATTTTATTGTTGTAACTTAAGAAACTAGATGTTTATCCGCAAAAAAAGAAAAGGTATTTCTTTCCATCCAAAAATAATAGGTCTTCCCCACTACTCTCTTATCTCAATTCATCACAATCATCCCCATTTAATTTTATCTATTTTTAGTGACCATAAATATTGTAAAAAATAATAGAGATAGTTTTTTTTAACTACAAGTCAAAAGTGCACATCACTACTGGAGAAACCATCTTTGGTCGGTTGCTAAAAACCACAATAGTTCCGGTTGCTCAAAAATCCGGTGCTTAAAAGTATTTTTTAGTCTCGATTTAAAAGTACAATGGGACTATGTGATATAGTCCCCGTTGATTCCATGTCAGGACGTGTCAGAGCCACCCGGGATATTTAGTACCGGTTGGTAACACCAATCGACACTAAAGATCCTAACTTTAGTCTCGGTTGGTATTACCAACCGGGATTAAAAATCAAAACGCTCTATATAATCCCTAGTACTTATTCTCTTCCCTCGTCCTCACAAACTCCTCCTCTTCCATGTATCTCTTTTTCCTCTATCTCCTTATCTTTCTTTCATCTATCTGTTTCTCAGCGCGGCGGAGGGCGGGCCGAGTGGGCGGCAACCGGGCGCACGAGGAGGAGCCCGGGCGGCCGGCAGGGGAGGGCCGGCCAGCCGGGTGCACGGGGAGGAGGTGGGGGCGGCAGCGGCAGCCACCGGGCGGGGTATGCGGCGGCTGGGTGGGGGCGGCGGCAGCCATGCTTGGGATGCAGTTGGGAGGAAGAATTTGTTGTTTTTTGGATTTGTGGTGAATTTGTTGTTGAGAATTTGTGATGTATTTGACTGTGATGTGAATATGTGATTTTTTTTAGAATTTGTGATTTATGATATATGATTTGGAGATGATTTAGGGATTTCATGATTTGGAGATGATTTGGGGATTTCACGACTTGGGGATGATTTGGGAATGGAGTGAAATCAATATGCAAGGAGTTAAAAACAATGAAAAAAAACTAAAAAACCTACCAATCAGGACTTGTCCTCTTCCATCTTTAGGACTGGTTGGTAACCGGAACTAATTTTACCCGGATTCGTCGTCCCGGTTGTATACGAACCGGGGTTAAAAACACTTTCTCCAACCGTGCGTGTAGGCACAATGCACTTACGTCTACACTCACGTACACCTACATGGTTAAACCAGGTCTGAGGCTAGCCACGTTCTAGCTTAAGTATACACTTTAACCACTAAATGTACCGTGCGTGTAGATAACTTCATGAGATAAATTTCAAGAGAATACGAGTATAAGTATATAGGTGCTGTTTGGACGAGGGCCACAGTACTTTGCCACACCTGTAGCATGCATCCACCTAGTCTAGTGTTTAGTTTGCGTCAAATTTATAGTGTTAGTGTGACCAATATTTATTGAGTAAATGGTTGTCTAAATTGATAAATGAGTAAGGTGTTTTGTGTGGACATTTATTAGCTTGTTTCCTTTAGCCCTTGATGGTGTGTTTTTCTAAGACTTGTTTTAATGTGCTAATCTGTGTGAATTTGTACAATAATTGGTTGTAACTTCTTGAGCAAAGCCTGTATTTTGTTCCATTATAGAAAATAGCGTGCCACACTTTTTTTAAAAAATGGGCCCAATCTTCATACACTCATTTTTAACATAACTCGTTATAAGTGTGACTAACAAAGTATAGCCTACAATTTTTTGGCAAAGTGGAGGTGTGATCTAAACAGCCTCATACTCTATCCATTTTAAAATTATTTGGCAAACCTTAGGCTCCGTTCGTTTGCTTGGGCTGTGAACCCATCCTCTGGCACGAAAAACGAAACAGTCTATTAGTGCGTAATTAATTAATTATTTGCTATTTTTTTAAAAAAAGATTAATATAATATTTTAAACAACTTTCATATATAAACTTTTTTAAAAAATACACCGTTTAGCAGTTTGAAAAGCATGCTCGCGAAAAACGAGGAGGGGAGTTAGGAACCTTGACATACAACCAATGATACCATTTTTTTTCAAGCAGCTAGAGGTACAGAGGTTCATATTTTTTAGATGGCTCATTAGTGATATTTTAGTCAAAAATTTCAGAAGTACGGCCACGGGTGATGGCCTGAACTAATATTTTATTCGAGGTGCCGCTACATCATCGTCTAAAGTACACGCAAGATTCAACGGAAAAAAGAAACCGATCGATCGAGATCAGTTAGTTAATGAAATAACTAGATCAACTCATGTCGTCAAAAACAAAAGATGCTCATCTATGGACAACACACGCTGATGATTCGATCATCAAACAAAGGTGGTAGTAGTAGTAAAGCGTATCGTGTTTCTCATCAGAAAGAAGAATTAAAGAAAAAACTAATCCCCTCTCGCGAGCCAGAGAAAATTCCCTACAAAAGCCACTCCTTTGATTTGACATGCAAAAGCAAGGCTCCACTCCTCTACTACCCTACAACTACACAACACTGTCTCTCTATCTCCAAAGGCAGTAGCTGTATTGGCTTCCAGCTTTTCCTCTCTACCTCTAATGATAGCTTGGAGCAAGTTCAATAGTATAGCTAACTACTAGCTCTAATTCATCTATAATCAATCTAATAGCTTATTCATACAATAGTTATATACTACATTATTAATATCTGGTCCCATCTATCATACACACTGAGTCTGTGCTATAGCTGACTACAAATCTGTAGCCCGCTGCTCTTCTCTCTTCATTTATCTTCTTAAAATATATTTGCAGCTGGCTTATGGCTTATAGCTTGATATTGAGAGGGAGAGGAGTGAGAGCTAGCTCAGCTCAGCTCAAGGTAAACAACAAGGCACACTCTTCCTACCTCTTCTCCGGTTCTTCCTTTTTCCTCTTTCTCTTCGTCCAAGAACTTCACCTCAATAGCTCGAGCTACGGCCTAACTTTTGCGTTGCGCAGGAGAGCTCGATCGCTGCACCAATACTTCACTGGAGATCGCCTAGCTGCAGCTAGCTAGCTTATCCTGCGTGTCTTGAGCTTCTCTCATGGAGGAGATCTCCCACCACTTCGGGGTCGTCGGAGCCAGCGGCGTCCATGGCGGCCACCAGCATCAGCATCACCACCACCCGTGGGGTTCTTCCCTGAGCGCCATCGTCGCGCCGCCGCCGCCGCCGCAGCTGCAGCAGCAGCAGACGCAGGCCGGCGGCATGGCGCACACGCCGCTCACGCTGAACACGGCGGCGGCGGCGGTCGGCAACCCGGTGCTGCAGCTGGCGAACGGCAGCCTGCTCGACGCGTGCGGCAAGGCGAAGGAGGCGTCGGCGTCGGCGTCGTACGCCGCCGACGTGGAGGCCATCAAGGCCAAGATCATCTCCCACCCCCACTACTCCTCCCTCCTCGCCGCCTACCTCGACTGCCAGAAGGCAAGTCCCACACACATGTGGTAGCCTAGCTAGCTACCTCCATGCATGCATGCTCTCGCCGCCGCGCGCATCTCCTACATGATCTCATGTCAAGCTCGCTCTCAGCTTACATAGCGTATGTGTCGTGGTGGGTTGCAGGTTGGGGCGCCGCCGGAGGTGGCGGCGAGGCTGACGGCGGTGGCGCAGGACCTGGAGCTTCGCCAGCGCACGGCGCTCGGCGTCCTCGGCGCCGCCACGGAGCCGGAGCTGGACCAGTTCATGGTGAGCTCGCAATCTCTCACTCTCTTTGTTGCTCGCCTTCCTCTTCGATATCTTGAGCTCGCTCGCCGGCGGCGTGCGTGTGCAGGAGGCGTACCACGAGATGCTGGTGAAGTACAGGGAGGAGCTGACGAGGCCGCTGCAGGAGGCCATGGAGTTCTTGAGGAGGGTGGAGACGCAGCTCAACACGCTCTCCATCTCCGGCAGATCGCTTCGCAATATCCTTTCCTCCGGTAACACAACACATCCATCCATCCTTCCATCTTCTTCTATCCATGTACTAATCCATTGCATGTCATCTTCTTCGATCGATCTGCTGGTTTATATCACGGTTTCATCGGCTTTGTTCTTGCTGTCCCTTTTGTCCATTTGATTCGATCTATTTGCTGGTTTGCTGACGGTTTGATTTGGTCTATTTCTTGCATCTACCATGTGTGATTTCTGGGCCAGGAAAAACGCATCTGTGTGTTCATGTCTTTTTTTTCCTCGTACATGCATGCGTGTCAGTGAACCCTGCAGATGATCTGGTCTGCTGGCTCGGTGTTTGGTGCTCTAAATCCCGCAAGTTCTCATCAGGGTTTCCAAAAGATTCTTTTCCCCTGATTGCTTTTCTTGGCCATGCATGTGGGATTCTTCCATCTGGGCTTCTACCGCTGATCATTTCTTCTGTTGGGAAGGAATAGTAGTCACCGGCACATGTGCATCTCAGTGTTCAGTGCAGCTACTAGCACACTGACGATTTTGTGGTCTGGCTCTTCAGATATCTCCTGATGTTTTTGCTATATTTAAAATCGATACCCTGATTAGAAAAAGATTAAGCTAAAGAGTTTAAGTACATTTCGCAAAACCTGGGGATTCGGGACATTCGTAACATTATCTGGGGTAGTGCTAAACATTTTTGCCCCAAATCTTAAGTTTCTTGAAATAAACTGCAGAACCTTGGGGTTTTTACATTATAGATATCCCAATACCTAGGGTTTTCGGAAATTAATAAATCTACTGTAAGCTAAATCATTCTAAAATCATAGTACATCTTCATCTCCATCTTCATCTTGAGGAATAATATGTCCCTAATATCATTGAGGTTCTCCCTTGGGTTCTCTTGGCGTTTATGCAACTCTTTTATTTTTTTTTAGATAATGGAAAATTTTATATACTATGCCTCTCATGCCGGCAGCTGGTTGAGTTTCGATTCCCTTTCTGAAAGAACATGTGCATGTGACTCTCCCGAGTAGAGAGAAGAAGTTCTTTGGCTCAGCCACATCTTTTCCCCGGGATGGAAACAAAGGCGGTGGTGATGAGAGGAGTCCGTCCTTACCATGTTCTTCTTCTAGGGTTTTGGGGGTAAAGGCTTTAGCTCACTGTGCAAGCAAACAGTGCGTAGCCGAGGAGTCTCACTGCCGTATGTCAGTGGAGCAAGGACACACATGTTGTGTGTTTTACTGATCCCTCTGCACAAACATCTCACATAGAGAGAGAGAGAGAGAGAGAGAGAGATGTACATGTTCAGAGATGCATCCCCCATCTGTCACGCAAGGCCAGAACAATATTCTTGTCATCTTTCACTCCCCCTGGAGAAACGAAGTGGCTACCTGTTGTCCTAGAATCTCTCTTCTCTTGGTTATGTGAGGTGGTGTTGTTGCTGTGGTCTTCCAGATTGTTGTGTGGATACACAGTGCCTGCCTGTGTTCTTGTGGTGTTCTTCTTTTAGTCTTTGCTAAATTTTAAAATGTAGACATCAGGTGGTTCCAGATAGGCCTTCTCTAATGACCTGTCACGAGAGCATAGTAAGTAGCAGTACCAGCACACAGTTGACACTCTCACTGTGCAGGGTTTTTCGCTCATCAGGAGCTGTATCCATGCATGCACAGGTGCTGCTACTACTATGCCACACAATCACTTCATTATTGGAGCATGTAGTAGGGTAGAAGCTGCCATCTCATGTGTGTTGCATGCACAGAAGCAGGATATCAATAGTGAATTCAGATGCATATGTGTAGAAATTGATTAAAACCCTGAACAAGTTTGTTGAAATAGGAAACCTGAACAGGTAGTGAGGTCAGTCTTGTGTAGAAATCCAATGGTCAGATAGATGTATTCCTACACACTCTACTATATACGTAGTAGGTAGACAGATGAGTAAATGGGATAGTATACTATACAGTAGGTCAGTCTTGTGTAGAAATCCAATGTACAGCAGTATACTCCATGACTTGGTATTCTGTGTTTTCTGACCAGTGAAGTCGCATGGACAGAACGGTCAGAGCTAGCCTCGAGAAAGATACAGTTAAGCAAGAGCATAGCCTATTATTTGATGTGAGATCTCCTTGCAATATTTTGGGTGATCTCCTTGGCTATACTAGTAGTACCAGTATTATATACTCCACTATAGAGTACTACTCGTGTATTTTTTGCCAGTCTTCTTCTAGTTCTCTTCATTCTCTCTCATAGATGTAATGGCGGTCAAGAAACATTGGATGCTTTCCAAGGCTAGTCCGAGTTCAAATGCGTCTGTATTTTTCAGCTGTCAACTCATTTCTTCTCAGGTTCAATTGTTCTTTGTCCTACTACTTGGACCTAGGTAGACGCACATCTACTCTATATGCGTTCTCTTTTCCAAAAAATATGACTGGCTTACCTGATTCACGAGGCAACCTGAATATCACCCGGTCAAGGTTGCAGGTGATCATTCCTAATTGTGTTTAGGACCATAGCTTGATTTTAATCACAAAACAACACTGCATTTTTCTGACTGATGTTGCACCTGATGTACTCCAAGATTCTTCGTTGCATGCATTCTTTCAAGGCCATGCAAAAGCAGGGGACACAGATATCACGAGTTTCCGTTTGTCTCGAGGCAACACCAAAAGAGATACTGAAACTTTGCTTGCTAAAAAGCAAACAAAAGAAAACAATGGGATGGAAAAGAGCTGACTGATTTTGCAATGGAACGTACGTCACTAGAAAAGACAATGCATGCAACTGGAGGACAGTAGTATGACTCGACAAATTGAGTTAACAAAAATTTTTTGGATGATAATTGTTCCCCTCATGTCTTTTTGTGATTGCCAAATCGATAGTGTTGGTTCTTCCATTTCTAAATTCCGGAGTTTCTGTGTCTGGCATTCCTTTTTCTTGATGTGTCAGACATCTTCTGTACATTTAGTCTGAGGTTCTGCTGGGTAATGAAGGTCCTCTTCGTTTGCTTCTGCTCTTAATTTTATTAGCTGTAGTTTTTGGTTAATGCAAGTTAAAACAAAAATATCTCTTTAATTAACTTAGTTCTTCAAAATTGAGTCTTAAAAATCCTACAAATATTGCAACTTGCATGATGCATTCCATCAATATTTTGTTTGCATGCGAGTGCAGCTCCTAGAACACTCTCTTGCTTTTCTTTTTCCTTTTTTAATGTAAAGCTGCTATATTCAATAATATATATTTTCATCTATTTAGTGAACACAAAGGAACTATTTAGGCAGTGATTCGGCTACCTCTCCCAGTTGATTGTTCTGTTTTTTCCTTGGCATTATTTTCGCATAGATACTAATGTTTCTTATTTATTTATGAAAAATTAAGTTGCGCATTATTTTTATACATGATTCATGTTATATTGACCAAATAAAGTCTTATAGAAGTGCAATATTTTGTGCTACACAATACAAGATGTGCTGTGGTAGAATTTACCCATGACTCATATTGTCATTTTTGAAAATTTTCCCGTGGGTTACATGAAATAATTGTCTTGCTCCTGTGAATATTTGGATGTGTCTGACCTTTTTATAGATGTTTTACAGGGAGTCCGACCAAGAATGCCTGAGTCAAAATTAGCTTCTGTATTATCTTTCCCTGTTTTTCTTCATTTTGCAGAGTAAACCAATGTTCTCTGCTCCTTACATAAGCAGTAATTCTTCACAAGTTGGGAACAAATGTGGGGAAAATCGTCTAACCCTTCATTTATTGATCCTTGTTTCCCCCCTAATGTGGCCTTATGTTTTAGAACTTCATGCAAGTAACCGATATGCATGATTACATGAATATGCTAGCACCATCATCCATGAGTTGCAATTGATCATAACTAAATATATATTAAATATTTAAAACATGAATTTTTTAAATAAATGATAAATAATTGTGCTGAAATGTTGAACATACACAAGTATGCTACTAGTATATTGTTTTAAAGCAAATCGTTACAAAAAAAAGACACACATACCTCCAAATTTACGGCTGCAAAAGTTCCAGTGTAAGGATGGGTGTAGAACCTGGCTTCGCCCTGCACTTCTTTTAAAGAGCAAGATGAGATGATGAAGCAATGCCGCAAGTTCAAAAGCTGTTTGACAAGTACAAATAATTCTTCTTTATATTCTGTAGAAATGCACAAATACAAAATTATGGATGTTGTACCAGGCCTTTGTATCCTACATTTAACTAGAAACACATCTTTTCTTAGATAGGAGAGGTTTTGTGGCTTTGAAAAATACTCGTAGGGTAGAGAATTTAACATACAGGTGGCAATTGAACAACCATTGTGTCCAAAGCGAAGTTATCTTCTTCTCATTTCTAGGATATCAGCTGATTTTCAGTAGTCTTGTATGTACGAATTAATCTAGCGTAGTAGAGGAGAGAATACCCGGTTCACCCAAGCTACAAAAACAATTAAAAAGTTGTGAATTTTCACAGCAAAATTGATACCATAGAATCAGACTCCACAAAATTTCAAATGAACAGACTACTTATATAAGATATTAACCATTAAGATAAACAGTTTACTGGTGAGATATTGACTTGCTACACATAAAAAGAAAAAAAAACTAGCACCACAGATTATCCAATGCACCAATTTAGCCAATTTATGGCATCAGTAACTACGTGCATACACTCTAAATAAACGACCTTTTACAGTATTTAGCGCTACATTTAGCATTGTTCTTTGCATGTAGTAAATAAATTAAAAGTACTAAATTATTTTCCTGACAACTCTACTGAAACTGTTTTGAGTGCAATCAATCTATATATTTTGCCTTGGAATAAAATTTAATAGGCCTGTCGACCTAGATATCGCTAGGACCTGTATTATCCTTGCATAATTAGTTGATATTTACTCCACAGGAAGAAAAAAATGTTATTCCTTACTAAAGCTAAGTAAACTTGTCGTAGAACTATCGTAGTACTCATCACACTCTTATCCCAATCAGGACTGTTTACATCAGAGAAACTATCTCATCTTTGCACTAAAAGAGCGCAAAGGGTTAACTACACTTTGACAGTTGTAATTATTTAATCCAAGACATTATTTAAGAGATTTATATACTGCATTTCTTGTACCTAATATGCCTGATAATTCACTAAAACAGAATTAGTCCTCTTATGGTTATTTGTAGGGTTCATTTCTCATGCAGTGCTCTGTTATCCTTGAACATGGTTATTATTTTGTTTAATTAATTTTATACCCCCTCTGTTTTAAATTAGTTGTTGTTCTAGGTTTGTCCTAAGTCAAACATTTTTATCTTTGACCATCAATTTTTTTTTTAGAAATTCTTGTAGTTTAAGAGCATGCGAATTATATATGTTGAGAAAATATTTTCTTATGGTGAATCCGAAAACATAATTCTAATGATGTTAAACCATATGAATTTCTAGAAAATAATAGTCAAAAGATAAAAATGTTTGACTTAGGACAACAAAGCTAGAAAAAGTGATTTGAAATGGAGGGAGTAATTCTTTTCAGATGCTACTCCTTTGGTCATAAATATTTGATGTTTAGGACAAGATTTGGTCTAAACTTTTAAAATTCCGACAATGAATTTTATATTGGAATAACTTAATCAAATCTAATACATTTATGGTATTATAACTTTACTTTTGGAGGTAAATCTACAAAAAGCATTTCTTTTGTTTTGAATATAAGCATTTGAGAAATTGTTGATGGTTGAAATTTCAAGAGTTTGAAGAAATCTTGCGCTTGCAAATGGTTTTGATCAGAGGAAGTAATTGAATGGTTCTTTTTCTGAAAAAAAAAATTCTAACGATGAAAGATAAGCATATTCAACTGGTCATAGTCTTACCATTTTATTTCGTTGTGTCAGAATGTTTTTAAGATCTAGCTATTGAATACTCCCTTTGTCCCTAAATATAAGGGATTTTGGTTGGATGTGACGCACATCCAACCAAAATCCCTTATATTTAGGGACGGAGGGAGTAGATAATGGCTAGACAAGGATGTGTTGAGAATATTGTGTGCTTGCTTTGTACGCTGTTTTACAAACACTAACTTATTATGGATGGGTTTTCTTAACACTACTCCTGTACAATAAGTTTTTTTTTCTTTTTTCCCCTCGAGAGAATGAGGAAAGATACTTACCATTTATGTGAGGAAAAGTTTACAAGTTACTATCACCTGACATTTTACACCAGCGGATAAATTCTATTATAAGAGTCTCCTTAAAATGGGACACCTTCTTCTTCTTTATATAAAATGTAGGCAACGGCATGACTGTTCAAAAAAAAAACTTCTATTCTAAGAGCAAGTACTGTGTTGCCAGTATCTTCATTTTCGTAGACCATCATCTGATTTTGTTAAGCACAGTGTTCTTATGTATATTTTCTGCTGCAACTTAAATTCTCTCGTTTGAATTCATAGCAAAATAGGTTGCCTGTTTTGTCGATTTCGATAGGTACAGCGCCAGCTACATATATTGTAAAGCTAATATGTAGTTTACATGTTATTCTCGTCCACCCTTGTAATCAAATATTTATCGTTTATCTGACTGCATTCTTTGGTCTACTTAATTTAATTTGAATAACTACTGAAGAGATCTACACGTTTTTCCTGATTTCTTTTGAATTAGTCTACCTATGTGAACCATAATCAATTTCTTGTCTTTGCTAACTATTTCGTGTGACATGTTTGAAGGCTCTTCTGAGGAGGACCAAGAAGGTAGCGGAGGAGAGACAGAGCTACCTGAGATTGATGCACATGGTGTGGATCAGGAGCTCAAGCACCATTTGCTGAAGAAGTACAGTGGATACCTGAGCTCCCTGAAGCAAGAACTGTCAAAGAAGAAGAAAAAAGGGAAGCTCCCCAAGGATGCTCGTCAACAGCTCCTCAACTGGTGGGAGCTGCACTACAAATGGCCTTACCCCTCGGTAAGATTCATCATCTTCTTAATTTTCCATATTGATCTTATGATCTATATGACTAGGGATGCTGAACATTAAATATAAGTTACTTCTAGTTTTGGTACAGGCGTACAGCACAGCCAACACCTGTGATGTTTGCACTGTAGATTCAGGTCAGATACTCAGATGTAGGCGCATATAGTTAGTTGGTGCATCATCCATCCCTTTGAAATCTATCGTTATGTAATTACTGAAGCTAAAGTAAACCATCCTGAGAATCGGAACATATGTTGCATGACATACGCATGTTTGGTGTATTCAAATATTTGTAGATTCTATGCTATATATATATTTGCAAGCTATGACCACCTATTTGGAATGATTTTTGAAAATTTCTATAGCTAGATTGGAAGTCAGTCATGGTAGGCTTCTGGTCAACCAAGCCATTAGTTCTTGGACATGATTTTTATTAATTATTTGTTTTTGGTGCGCTGTAGTCATTAGCATCAAGGTTTGCATCGAAACTAGCAGGATATTCCTTCAAAAAAAAACTAGAAGGATAAGTAACTCTGTATTTTACCCAGGCTATATATATCAAACTTTTGCTCTTGTATTTTCTTATCATTTTCCCCCTAAAACCGTCCTAATTTTGTAGAGGCATCGAACGCACCAAACAGTACTCTTTCTGTTTATCTAGCATTTCTGTGCTATTTTTTTTTCTTTTTTGCTGGGATGACCGAAGAAAGGTCATCTAAATGTTATTAAAATAGAAGGAAAAAATGGTTACAAGAAAGTTTTTCATTGACAGACTATGACATTATTATGCAATGCCAACAAACTATTGCAAGCTATATCACCATGCAGCTTTTCTATTACTCCCACCGTTCCAAAATACGAGAATCTAGGTACGAATAGGGCACGTTCTGGTTTACGAATCTGGATAAGTCGTAGTAATACGATGTGTTTCATCCTTGTCCTAAGTTCTTATATTGACGGAGGTAGTGCTAGTTATCTACTACCATTTCTGTGCTATAAAATATAATGCAAGCTATCGCCATGCAGATTTCCTGATCATGGTTATGTATCTATTTTACATGTGGAGCAGGAGAGTCAGAAGGTGGCACTGGCGGAGTCGACGGGGCTGGACCTGAAGCAGATCAACAACTGGTTCATCAACCAGAGGAAGCGGCACTGGAAGCCCTCCGACGAGATGCAGTTCGTGATGATGGACGGCTACCACCCGACCAACGCCGCCGCCTTCTACATGGACGGCCACTTCATCAACGACGGCGGCCTCTACAGGCTCGGCTAGCTAGCTAGCCTACTCCTTATCCCCAGCTACCATGACCTAGATCGATCTCGACCCCAAATCAATGGTCGCTAAGCTACTGAAAAGTTTGTGATGAGAATTGAAGAACCTAGGTTAGTCTTCCTGGTAATTTGATGCTCGCGCGTACGCACGCCATGGATGGCTGCGTGCTTATTTTGTTTCTTGCCGCAATATGTAATGCAATTGCCTTAGCTAATGCATCAACTCGGGTCGGTTTTAGCTGCTGCTGCTGCGCCACAATGAGGTGGTTGTGGTTATGCTTTTGTGTGGTTTAATACGCCAAGACGTACACATTGCTTCGAAATGTCGCTACTCTTGCTGCTGCTAATTAAGTGCGTGTTTGAATAATTCGGATCTATATACTACCTGGTTAATTCCTATCTTCTGATTATATAATTTGCTGATCGTTCGAGTTTTTCCTTGGTGAGATTTTTTTGCATGCGTGTGTTCTTTCAGATGATCGATCTTCTGTTTCGAATTCGTTGTGATTTACATACGATTTGATTCCATAGGTTAGATGATGATGATTATCACGATATTCTACCTCGCTCTCATGGGCTAGATCACCAGGAGAGGAGATAACAGCGGAGGGGAAACGAAAGGGATATACTCGAAAGAGGAAGACGGCGTACGTACCCGGGCTCTCGCGGCGTCGGCGATGGCGGCGCCGCCACCGGCGGCCGCCGCGCCGGGACGCGCGCCTCCGTTGCGGCGGAGGGCGAGGGGGATCACGAGCCGTTGCGGCGGCGCGGCGCGTGTGGCGTTGGTAACCCAACCGGCAAGGAACGCAACCTAGCGCGAGATGGCCCGTTTGGGCCACGTATAGTATCTTCTCGGGCCTAACCGGATTGAGACGGCCCATTGGTCCATGGGCCTTTATTTGGCCATCGCGGATATGGGCTCATGGGCTTATATGGGCCGAGCACTGAAACCACTTCCGCCCTAAGGTAGTTGGGTCAAGTAGGCGGCGCTGGTCGAGCTCCGGCGAGCCGCCGGCGAGGTCGCCGCCCAAGAATTCCTCTCGACACCTCTGCTTCTGGCGAACGGTGAGTCTCCGGTAAACGGAAGCGATCGAAGAAGTGGGGGGGAGGGGGGGAGTCGCCGCGTGGTTGCTTTGTCGCCTCCCCCGCCGGTGGGGATCCCTTGGCGCTCTCGAGCCACAGCCATGGCGCTGCACGCGACGTCCTCGCGCGACTCCGTGCGCGCGGCGGCGGAAGGAGAGCCGGAATGGGCGGGCGACGCGTCGCGGCGGCCGGCCGCGTTCTACAGCGCGGTGTTCGCGCAGGTACGCCAGCTGCTCGACGAAATGCCGCAACCAGGTGGTGTCACACTGCGTCGGTCGTGTGTTTGATAAGGATTGCCTGTCGTTTTCGTGTGGTTGCAGATCGAAGAGGTCGGGTGGGAGCGGCTGGTGAGCGGCAAGGGCGACGGCGGCGTGTCGTGCCTGGTCTTCCGCATCCTGTAAGGATCTCTGGTCTCCTATGTTTACCGGCATGTGTGGTGTTTGACCTGTGGCTCTGTGGTTTATCATTCATCACTAGCATGCATGGCTCATGGAATCGCAAACCAGATTTTATAATCAGGACACCCAGAGAGGAAATTGACAGTAGAAGTTGCTTCAGAAGCAAAGCTTTTTTTTTTCGAGGAGTAGCAATGTTATTTGCTATAGATTGGAGGAGAAACTGCAAGATGTCTTGCTGTTTGATAAATTGTTCGGCAAACATCTTCTTATTAAGCTAATGAAGAGATTAGAATGGAAACAGTTCAGAACTATATGAGGAAATATCCAAACAACTATATGAGGAAATATCCAAACACTTCACCTATGTGATATTCTTAACTTTTGTACTTCATGTAAACTTTTAGTTTATGGTTTGTAATATTCTTCCTGGTTTCAGGGATGATCAGGGACGAAACCATTTACTGGAGATCACGCTGCCCATGAACTACCCTTCAAGTCCTCCTTGCCTTGTGGCAGTATATCCCGCCCGACTTGCGATGCTTCTTTCTCATGTTTCATGTCATGAGTGGAATGGTAATGCACGTTATGGCATTTAACTTGTTTTCTTCTTACAGGATGTTCCTTATCTACCAGAATTACAGTGGTCAAAAGGCTCAAGACTAAAAGATGTTGTCTGCCAGTTCCAAGAGGTATGTGAAGAGTTTTTTTTTTTCTCAAAAAAGTCTGTTATGAATTCAGTCTTATGAACTTCTTATTCACGTGCAACCCGTATTGAGTTGTTACATTGTGTGGTGTGATCTTGCCCGCTGTACACAACTAGCACCTGAAGATATTGCAAGATTACTGGTCTATAATGGATGACATTGATAAGGTCCTTTGGGTTGTTGATCCAACAAAGCCAACCTTTGCTATGTCTCATCGCCGTATAGCTTTAGGTAATGCACTTTGGTTTTTTACCAAATAATTGTTTTGCTCGTTTGGTGGTCTTCACTTAAAGCATGTGTTGCCATGCACTGCTAGGTGATGATTGCTATCTTTTACTACATGTTAATGTGCGAAAGCCCAGATCATTACCAGAGTAAGTTCAATTTCATTACAGACTCACAGTACTTCAAACACATCATCGTTGATGGTCAGTTTTTCTCAGGGTTCGCTTCCTGGGAACAGATGGGAAACTGGACAGACTGATAACTAATTGGAGAAAATATTGCAAAAAGTGGTATATCCTTAGATTTCTTACATTACATGCTGTACATATGTCCCATACAAAATTTTATACTGACATGCTTAGCCATGCTTAATGTAATATCTTCTTTCCTGAACACCAATGTGTATTTTGCTTCCTGAACACCAGGACTTGCAGGATAGTTCATTATGTATTTCCAGTACTAATAAAGTAGGATTGCAGCAAAGTGTAATAAATATCCTATTATTTAGCATATTTTTCTATTATTAGGAGTGCAGACAAGAAATTCCATGAAAACCTGTCAACTGTCTTGGATTTCGCTTTGCCTCCACCACCTTCAGTCAACATCGAAGATGACGAGCAAGTTGATTGTGGAATATGTTATGCCAAGCATCTGCCAATTGGTGAGCAGATTTATTCTGTCCGTTTGTGCAACCTTTCTGTCTGACGTAGTTCCTGAATCCTGACCCTAATCCTTGAGTCTTTGCTTCTGAAGATGATGAACTTGGGACTCACAGCGGGGGCACGACAGATTACACATGTGAAAACCCGAGCTGCAGCAGAGCTTTCCATTCTGTCTGCCTGAGAGACTGGTTACGCGCGATTACTACAACAAGGCAGTACGTCAAAATGATCAATACCCAAGAGGCCAAGACTATATTTTTACCACCTCCATATGAACTTGTGTATTCTATGATCTTATATTTTCTCACAATTTATCCATTCTCACCTGATGGCACTTCACAGGTCGTTCGACGTTCTGTTTGGGAACTGCCCCTACTGCAGCGACCCTGTTGCCGTGAAGATCACCGACCGCTAAAACAGTCTTCAGAGGCAGATTTCAGCTGATTCTAACCACTCGTGAGACCATTACTAACTAGTCAGTTGCCATGTACAGTGTTATGTTTCAGTTTTCTCAAAGAAAGCTCTAGAGCGCAACGTGGAATGATGCTCTCATCAGTTTTTTTTTCATTCAGAAAATGATGATTTAGCATATAGTCGAGTCTCGAGACATCATCGATGGAGCGGCATGAGGTCTTCGCCGTCCGCTTCTAGAGAGATGAGAATCAAATTGTCCTGGTGACCGAGTCAGTTAATCAGTTGAAAATGTGCAGCCTGTTTCCGAACACGCCCTTCTAGATTTGGAAGGATGAGGGCGATGGACTCTGAATTTCTCGTTGCCGTGCCTGTTTCCCCTACTGTCAAACCTCCAATTAGTTTACCAACAACTTTCCACATTATAGTATATGTGAAAAAATCGTTTCAAATAATTGAAAAAAGGGGCAGTCCAGTGATGCAAAGTCAAACACCCCGTTTTGATTAAGCCCTTGTTTAGTTCCAAACTTTTTCTTCAAACTTTCAACTTTTTCATCACATCAAAACTTTCCTACACACAAACTTTTAATTTTTCCATCACATCGTTACAATTTCAACCAAACTAGCAATTTTAACGTAAACTAAACACACCAAATGACCCAAAGTTTTGTAAACCCAGGACGACAACCAGTATCATCAGTACTATCTAGAACCAAAGGAAAATGGGTTATTAGTCCTTATTCTCTATGCATATGAGAATGGAGGCACTAAAAGGAGTACCTATCGATCTAGGACAATTGGCATCATTCTTTGTGCAAAAGATTGTGAACCACAAGAAACACTCGTTTTGTTGTGTTGGCGTGTGCATTTTCACATAATCACAGCTTGATACCAAAGACACAAACACATCCACACATGACATGTTAGAGGCAAGGGGAAAAAAAAACAATGCAAGTGGAGTTTGGGCATCCGAGAGAATTTCTCACAGAGTCACAGTAGCTCTAGATTCATCTCTCCGCTGTTACGTGCTGACGATGCGTCCATTATCGATCCAGCCTCCAAAGGCAAGAAAAATACTATACTAAAAAGAAAAGGAAAACAAAAAGAACAAAATAAAAATGAAAATTCTATATGTACTTAAATTTTATCCTCTTACTAATCCTATCTTACTATAAAGTTATCCCCGACTAACTCCTTAAACTTAACATGCAAAGATATCACATCACCATCCACTAACAAGATGTCACATCATCATCCACTAATTAACAAGATACCACATCATCATCCACTAACAATCATCACATTTAAACATCATGCAAACATGCTATATCTTTATATTTTTTATAATTTAAGAGCTTTTCAAATACAAACATGTTAAATTATCATCCAACATAATTCACATAATGTTTCAATGTATATCTTATATACTTTATCCTCACTTAGTTAGTGATTATATGATTAATCTATGGTCCAAATTATCTTTCTCCTTTTTTCCTCTAATTAAGTCATATCACATCAATTATTTTTAGCCTTTAGATGATTAATCTACAGTCCAAATTATCTCCCTACTTTTCTTCTTCCATAAAGTCATACCACCTTACTTTTTACGTTTGAATTATCATTCTACATACTATTTAAATTTAAATTATCATAAACCACATTAATTTACTTAATCTGATATTATATAGCTATCTTACACGTTCTTTTTTTTATTGTTATCATACTAAGTTCCCGCAGCAATACGCGGAGTTTCACATAGTATTATATATGTCACGCTACTATTACATCTAGATCTTTTGCAACTTTTATTTAATTAAATTAATCTGTTGAGATTATCATTTTCTTTTTGTAAGAACGTGTAGCACTGCAGCGCTCAAAAAGCCGCTGCTTTTCTTCCCGGCACAGCACAAAACCAACAGAAAAACCCCACGAAACCTGGGCGAGCGCGCGCACGCGACCACGGCGGCGCGAGGCGGAAGCAGCCGCCGCCGCTGCCTCCTTCCCGCGCAGCGCAGCGCGCGGTTCGGTTGAATTCTCGCGCCACGCCACGCCACGCCTCACCTCACCACCACCAGGCACCAGCGACCAGCAGCTATAAGAGGAGGGAGACCAAGGACAAGCAAACCCGTGTGTCCGGGTCAGAGTTTCTTGAGAGTAAAAAATGGCAGAGGGGGAGGGAGAGGGCGGGGAGAAGAAGAGTCAGCGTCGGCGGCTGAGGGCGGCGTGCCTGCCGCGCCCCGGGTGCTTCACGGTGTCCGCCGCCGACGAGGGGCCGTCGGGCTCCGGCGGCGGAGGAGGGGGGAGTAGGCCGGCGCCGACGCATCTGGTCGTGACGGTCAATGGGATCGTCGGCAGGTGATCCGTCTTCCTCGACCCTCTTTCGCTTTGTGTCTTTTCTTTTGCGTTTCGTTTCACCAACCGTAGCTTCAAACTATATTCGCTCAATGATTAATCTCGTTAATTTCAATGCTAATATAGTTTTAGGATTGTATTTAATATTTGAATGTATCGATTCCGTTAGCTTTGTTACTGTACCATTTGCTATAATAAAGGAATTAGGGAGGATGCACTGTCAGACAAAATTTATACTCTTGGGACTGAAAGTGTCAATCAGGCTGGGTGGTTTCAGATGGGTATCCACACTTTGGTGTAGTGGATGTGGTAGATCCCAAGACAACACCTTGGGAATTGTCGAGTTGAGGAATTAGCAGCATTCTCTGATTAATTTTGGATTTGAAAAATCATCTGCGGCTAGTGGTGCTTTCACATTTCAAAACTTGCTCTGAATCTTTTCGATGCTTCACCTGTAACAAATGTGAAGTCGTGACTTGTGAGTTGTGAGCACTTGCATCGTCAATGGCATCAAGAAAATGGAAACACTTTTCTCCACTAAAGGTTCTTATAACAGTCACTAACTCACTATAGTGCTCGTGCCACCTACTAGTGCTCGTGACATGTATTTTGGGACGGAGGTAGTAGTATTCAGTAAGACGAACATTAGATATATAATAACTACATGATAATGTGATTCATGCGGCTGCAGTCTTGGCACATGCTCCTTGAGAGTACAACATGAATCCATGTGCAATGCTGGCAACCAGCTGTGTACACATGTAAACCCCCAAAATGACTTTTTAGGTTATAACCTTCTTAGCTATCATCCAAATTTCAGTGTTTAGTAGTATTTATTTTAGTAAATGCGCCACACCTTTATGTTCTTGTTTACCCACAAACACAAAAGGTGCTTCTAAGTATTCAAGGAATGCAGAATGGTACAGATTAATCCATTCTACCTTAGATTCTTTGCAAGTTAACAATCTGGCTGCAATTTTCATTAATAAAACGTCTAGCTCCAAGATATAGTTCCTAGAATACTTTTGTGAGGACAAATTCACATCCATTTCCAAATTTCACAAAGGTTTTCCCTTTCAATAACTGTGCAGTGCAGAAAATTGGCGTTACGCAGCAAAACATTTCATCAAAAAACATCCTGAGGATGTGGTTGTTCACTGTAAGTTCAATTCACCAGGCACTGTAAGTTCAGTTCATATTTTCTACTGTTTTTGGGCTGCTAATTTGGATAAGTAAACTGAGAAGTAGGTAGTTTACATGTTTGGTTGGTGTTCAACAATCCCCTCTTAGATAAAAGGATCCATAATCATTATGGTGTGACCTTTTTTTGTTGCCCTATTAGGCAGTGGATGCAACGGGGCAGTTCGAACTTTCGATGGAGTTGATGTGATGGGAACAAGATTAGCAGAGGAGGTAGGTATTGAACTATTCATGAGTTATGCTTCAAAGCTATGCTAGATTGAACACTCTATGACTGATAATTTTACTGCCTTTTAAAATAAGTAACACTTTTTAATGACATGATTATTAACCCTTAAAGTTTTCTTCATCACGCTCCCTTTAATTGACCTCTGCCTTTACTTGTTTGTATTAAGGTGCTCTCACTTGTTCAGCGTAGACCAGAGCTTCAAAAGATCTCCTTTGTTGCCCATTCATTGGGTGGATTAATTGCAAGATATGCTATTGCATTGCTATATAAGAGTGCTACAGAAATAGATTCTCATGAAGAGCATGAGAAGCAAATCACTGATGTTTCCAGCAACCAACTTATTGATCGAGGCAAAATTGCTGGTTTGGAGCCTATTAATTTCATAACTTTTGCAACACCACACCTTGGAACAAGATCACATAAGCAGGTTACGTTCAAAATCTTGAACCTGTATCTTTGTTGCACGTATTGGGATCTTTCCATCTTGTACCATATAAATAGTCACGCATGACAATAAGGACCATATATGAAATGAGTTTCCAATAAATGCCATCAGTTTTATGGAAAATCAGTTTATGGTCATTTTGTATGTTTATGTTATGATTAAGATGTTTTTCTCAGTTTTGCTCCTGAGTTTGCTCGGTACTGCAGTATTATTTATGCTTATTTTTCTTTGTTCAATATGTGCTGCTATCTTGTTCATAGTAATACTCACCAAGTTACCATCTATCATTACCATTTAGTAGATTAATGATTGTAGTGGACTATTGACTGCAACTGGTCTGGCGTGGTTGTGTGGCAATGAATGATGGGATTCTTAGACAATGCCTTTACTAAGTTATTTATTTTCACATGCAGATACCCCTTCTCCGTGGTTCCTATAAACTGGAAAAGATGGCATATCGCATATCATGGATTGCTGGGAGAAGCGGAAAACATCTTTTCCTAAAGGACATTGAAGATGGGAAACCACCACTCCTTCTCCAAATGGTTACTGATTACGGTGATCTCCATTTCATGTATGCCATTTAAATGTTTTTGTGTAAAAACAACTGTACAAATCGTTCTCCTTGTGTTTCACTAGAAGAAATTTATGCTGATTATTTTGCATACCTTATAAGCTGTTCTATGTGCAGGTCGGCTCTGCGTTCTTTCAAACGTCGTGTTGCTTACTCAAACATCTGTAACGATTGTATCCTTCTCTCATAAATACATATAATTAGTAGATTCGTTGACCTATTGCTTTTTTATCTCTCATAAATACATATAATTAGTAGATTCGTTGACCTATTTCTTTTTTATGGATTAATTGAGAGACTGTCAACCTTGACAACAAGTTCAGTCATTGTTGGCTGGAGAACATCATCAATACGCCATCAACATGAACTTCCCAAGGTAGTAATATATTTTCTATAAGTTCATACTGGGCTTTTAACAGAGTTCTTACGTTTGAATATTCCCCTGCATCAGCCCCAAAATTTTATAAATCATGTTAAATATCCACATGTTGTATATGTGGAAAAGCCGAAGGTTCAGGATACTGATTTTTCAGATTCAATGATATATCAGGCGAAAAATACAAGTGAAATGGAAGGTGTGTAAACTTTTCTCTGTTTGTCTGTAATCAAGTTATTGAATTCATTACTCTTTATGTTCTTATCCATGAATTTTAGAAGGAGGGATCATATCTTGAAGTGGTTTATTTGATGCCATATGCCCATATCCACACATTTTTGGTCTTACATGAACAATAATTACTAAACAGGAAGATCTGAAATGGAGCGATGGTAGCTTCAAACGTTTCATAATAGTATACTTGTCTTCCAGAAATCAGCAGAAACCATAATTTCATGTTTTAACAACTACTCCACCGAATAGAATCAGCGCTGTATGACTTTGTTCCTTACGCTTTTTATAATTTTTATTTTACAAAAAGCTGAGGTCAAGTTGCTGAATAAGAGAGAGCCCCAAGATGTGGCTTCAACCATTTCTTTATGGAACTTTATGCAACTGGAATTTATAAGAACTGTAGTATTATAGGAGTATCTTTAAGAGAATAATTGACAAATCTAGTGCATAGTATTCATATATCCAGGTTCAATAAGCTTAAATATATCCAGGATTGTTTGTTTTGTTGCGTTGGACTGAAACAATTGTTATTTGTGTGTGCTACATCAATCTGAATTATTCCGTCCTTCATGTGGGTTATGTTGGTTATCATAACTGAATTATCTCATGTATTCAACCGCAGAACTGATGCTCAAAGGTCTGAACAGAATTCCATGGGAAAGGGTAGATGTTAGCTTCAAGAAAAGTAGACAAAGGATTTTTGCTCATAGCACCATTCAGGTATGTTGTAAATCCCTTTGTCTTCTGTTCCTTATTTCTTACTCTGTTCCTTTCTGTTGGAGAAAACTTTCTACACTTGGATTTCCGTGCTCATTAGGCAAAAACAAATAATCCCCTTTTGAATGGCTACCATCTCAATTTTTATTAGTACCTGTTTACTGAAAACTCTCTGAGTTGGCTTCGTTTAAGCTTTATTACTTGTTTTACAAATATACACCATCAAGAGCTTTGTTTATGGTCTAGGGGAAAAATGGGCATTCTGTTATGCTTAAATAGTTAAATGTAAGTCTGGCCAACTGCTTTGCTTGCCGATTTCCCAAATGCTACAGACGGCTCAGATGATGCATCAGCAGACTACTATTTAGATTGGTAGGTTGTCACGGACCAACACAGATGAAATCCTGGTTGTCCATAATAGCAGCAGGCCTCCATTTGATGCCTATTCAAGATAGTTTGGCGCCTATCCGTTTCACCTAAGAAATTCTGAAGCTAAGGTTTTGTTCAACTTGCACAAGCTGGATAGCCTTTATTCATAGTACTTGTTTCTGGGGGCAGAAAGGCATACGAGTTAGTAGCTACTTCCACAGTGCCTACCTTTGGTCATGTATATTCTGTGGGCGGCAATAACTTAAAAATTCAGTTATATTTGTCGAAAATTCAAAGCTGCAATGCAAAAATTTGCAAGAGGCATCATTCAAGATTATTCTATATCACTGGGTTAAAGCAAAGATACAAAGTTGTCACCGTCTGAAAATTGTGCAATTCTTCTCTTTTGTGTTGCAGGTCAAGACCTATTTCTTCAACTCTGATGGGGCTGATGTGATTTTTCACATGATCGACCATTTTCTTTATTAACATTGGTCGGGATGGGAGGGTGGCGGTAACGAGGAAGCTCCCCCACTTTGTTTTTATCCCATCTGGAGTTTACTTTCACTTTGACACGAAAAAATGTGAAGAAATGTTTTTTTCAGGATAACTAGAATTGTTACCGGAAGAAGTACAGTAGATCCCCATAGTAAAGATAGGTGTTGGATGTAGTGGAGTATGTGTCTTGTAAACTTTGGGTCTCCGAGGTTGGTTTTTTTTTTCCTTCTCTCTGTCTCTTCCGGGCTTCAGTGGCTCAGTGACAGTGTACATGCATGTAATGGACCACATTCTGCTGCTCTAATAATAAAATCTACTGTGTGTTGCATCTCGAACAGACAACACATAAGCGAGAATTACGGCTATTGACTTCTTTGCCGTGCATGCTGCTGTACCAAAAGCTTCCAGATTGACCTGAATCCTCTTTTACCACCTCTTCCCAGTTGCCCTCTGCAACGATCATTTACACCAGTGAGAAAAGTACTGTACAGTCCTTTGACTGCCTATGTGCTCAAGGCCTGAAGCTATATGATCATGGCATTTGTTTCTTGTTAGCATGTACAGTGTATGGCTCATCAAATAGGTATTCTTCTTGAAATATACTCCTACTGGGGCAAAGAAGCAACAATGCCAACAAAGATGCTTTGCAACCTGCGTGACTATTCAAGGGTACTCGTCAGCAGAGGCTTTTTTTTTTCATTTTATGTATTCAGTAATAACTCCTTTCTTCATCATTATTCAGTTGTCTCTTGAATTCTTGGACCCTATTTCTGATCCCCTTTTGCAGGGAAGAATCTGCAAGGGACACAGTGCTGGACCCCTCCTTATTTTGGCATCAAGGCTAGTTCCATGTAAGTTGCTTTTGCTCTTGTTGCATCTCCCCAGCTTTCTTTCTCTCAAGCTTTCTCATCAGTGTGCACCAAATAATTTCACCCCTTTTTTTTCACTGAATAGTGATTCCAGGACCTCATTAATCTGTGCCCCTGCTGAGCATGCAAGCATGCAAATGCATTGGCTTGTGTCATTTTTGCATTGCCATGCATGCTAGCCTCTGCACCCCAGCCCTAGTGTCCTGCTGCTGCTTCTCTCTCCTCCCAACTTTTGTGCCTCTGTCTCGCTCTGATCTCACTGATGCCAAAGCCTTTATGGCTTCAGAACTCAGATGCATTCAATGGCCTCATCCGTAGCTACTCGTACACCACTGTAGACACAGCCTCCTCCTCTCTCTCTCTTCTTTCTCACATTAACTTCCAGCACCAAAGTTGCAAGAAACCCCTCCTGCACATGTGAACAGTGAGCATATGTTGGCAATGCGACCTCTGAATCTGATATATATAAGCAGAGGTAGCATCCTACTGTTTTCTCTCCTCATCATCCACCGATTAGCAAACGTTCAGTTCGTTTACTCGCTCGAGCTCGCCATGGAACTTCTGCTGCTTTGCTCCTCATCGCTGCTGCTCCTTCTGCTCTCCTCTCATGGCCTGCCGTCCACCGAAGGTACGTGAAAAATGAAATCTTCTTTTTTGCACACATGATCGAGCTGAACCTACCTAAGCAAAGCTGCCTAGATCTCCCTGAATTCTGATGCAGCCATCACTTCTGCTGCTGCTGCAGGTGGAGAGTTGCATCATCACCAGATCAAGGAGCCTCCTCCAGAGGTAAAAAGATCGATGGAGGACTCCTTTTGCTCTTTCAAGTCTTTTTCTCTCTTTGTGGCGCATATGAACGAACACCTGAGCTGCATTGGCCGGTGCAGGTGGAGCAGACGGGCGGGAAGGGGTGGGCGGCGATGTCGGAGGCGCTGATCGGGTCGCGGCCGCCGCGGTGCGAGGGCAAGTGCGCGCCGTGCGGGCGGTGCGAGGCGGTGCAGGTGCCCGTGGCGCCGCGTGCCGGCCGCCTCCGCGCCTTCTTCTTCTCCAGAGCCGCCGCCGCCGACGACGACGACGAGAGCTCCACCAACTACAAGCCGTTGAACTGGAAGTGCAGGTGCGCAGACACCAGGAGGGCGCTGGATCCATGATCAAGAAATGCTTGAGATTTTTCGCTCCCGGAGATGGTGAAATTAAAGTTTCTGAATTCCGTTAGTAGTTGTTGTTATGGCTTTAGGTGCAGAGATTCAGAGAAACGATTCTGAAGGTGTTATTATACTCTGAATCCATTGTGTTCTAATTTTGTAGTACTATGTTTAGTTTGTGGTGTAATTAAGTGTGTCATGTCCATTTTCCATCAAGAGTTGGATGGATCAAAATTCCAAGCCTGCATTTCATAATTGAGTGTTTTTTTTAATCCCTTCAAAATTCAAAACCAAAAGTTGTCAAGATAGTACTTACATTGTCTTTGCTACCAAGCTTAATGTTTGGTTATCTCGTTCTTTATCAGCGAGTTAGCATCTTAACAACTGCACTTATATTGTCTTTTCTACCAAGCTTAATGCTGCGCACATTGCCTGCAAAATATTTTCCAAGAAGATGCAAAAGCAATGCAGCATCGCATTGTCCGGTAGTAAGACAAGAAAAACTTTTGTAGTACTGGACTTGGATGTATGCTCATCATTGCTAGTGCGTCTCTTTTGTTTTGAAGGAAGCCGTAAGCATTTGATACACTACCAGGGCATGTCCTTTCAGGATTCGCTTCTGAAAACTCGGTGAAAAAAGTTGCACCTACTATACACTTCACACTACTACCACTAGTACTAGTAGTACCTTGGTAGGCAAACATGAACAGTTGCACAGTACAATCTGTTTCAAATGAAATTGCACGGTAGTAGTACAGGTTTTTGGCTCACATTCAAGGCTAAACGTACAGCTATGCATCATCTCTCTACAGTTTTGCACAAATTCAGCTATTGCCTCGGCGCCACCACTGAAATTTAGCACCAAGGTTGGTAGCAGTAGAAATGCGTGCGTGACTAACTCAACAGGTACTCGATTCAGCAATGGCCACTGCATTCAACTCGGATGCTATCACATGCAGATCAATCTTTGCCTACCTCCATGGGTGCAAGAAAATGACAGTGCTGAATCCCCATTGAATACTTACCCATGGGAGGGCATCCACGGACCACGGTGTGAGGGCGTTCACAGTGCGACACAAAACATTGCTGATAGAAAACGAGAGAGTAACCCAGCTGATAATTGAGTTGATCAGAATGGTGCCTAAGTTGTTCTTGTATTTTAGTCCTCTATTTCTTCCGTTTGCAGCATCTTGTGTTGTCTCGTATTTTTTAATATATATATATATATATATTGGCTAAATTTTAGTCACTAGATTAACAAGATCGATCATTTTAACAACTCTTACTTTTAAAGGGTAGGCGAAAACCTCTTCACATAGACAACTCAAACAACCTAAATTTAGAACAGGAGGAGTACTCTCTCCGTTTCACAATGTAAGTCATTCTAGTATTTCTCACATTCATATTGATGTTAATGAATCTAGACATATATATCTATTTAGATTTATTAACGTCACTATGAATGTGGGAAATGCTAAAATGACTTACATTGTGAAACGGAGGAAGTATATATTAGTGGCAAATTATTGTCCACCGCGGCGGCTAAAAATTGTAACCCTACAAGTATCTGATCAAACAAAGCCAAGAATATCGGTACTGTAGCCAAAGCAGTACCCACAAAACAACAGTTGGAGTTGCCGGGCCAAATATCGACCGTAATCGACCCCAGCGGCCCAACCTCAGGCCGTATCGCCTCCATAATCATCATCATTCATGCATCTGTCGTCTCGCTTAATTGCCATCAACTTCACCTCACAAAAGTGAGCATCAAGAACTCTGCATTTACGCGATGAAACGGCCGCATTCGAGTTTTCCATCGGTAACAACTATACCATGTGAGGCCTGAGTTGAGCTTAGGGGTGGAAACGAGCCGAGCCGAGCCAGGCTCGGCTCGGCTCGTGGAAGCTCGCGAAATGCCAGGCTCGGCTTGGCTCGGCTCGGTTCTCCAACCGAGCTGTACATTAGGCTCGGCTCGGCTCGTGGTCTGGCTCGAGCCGGCTCGAGCTGGCTCGTGAGCTTTGCAATAGCAGCAGTTGTATTGCCAGCAGCAGTTGTGTTGCTTTGCAATGACTTGGTTATTCAGATAATAACTCTCAAGTCCCTACAAAGATAATTAGGTATATTGTATGCAGCCAACATATAACAAATTGATGGGATTTTTTGGTTTTCGGCCAGAAGTCTTTCTATTCAAACCGAGCCTACTAAGCTCGTGAACTGCTCGCGAGCTGGCTCGGGCTCGGCTCGGTTCACAAACGAGCTAAAACCCAGGCTCGGGCTCGGCTCGTTCAGGATTCGAGCCGAGCCGAGCCAGGCGAGCCCGAGCCGAGCTTGAGCCGAGTTCACGAGCCCGAGCTATTTGTCCAGCCCTAGTTGAGCTCTCTCTTCTCCCAAATAATAAGATTACTATTCATCACCTTTCTAGTACGCGGAGCAGCAGACTACAACCATGCCACCATGGCGGAGTCACTGCAGTAGCACGTTCCAGATCATCATTCTATAGCAATTTTTCCAGCGAATAAAAGGAAATGCGGCAAATTACATCGTTATCTTCATTAACTACATTTGGATTATTTCCCAAAGCAACATTAAATCTAATTAATTGACAGTTGTATGGCTGGTTGGCCGGATGAAGAGTGGAGATGTAAGGTCACCTCTAAAAATGTTTTGGCACGTTGGGAATGATGAGTATTTTGATAAAACAAAAATATATGCTACTCCATCCATTCCATGGCACAACCACTTTTTTTAACATGTTAGATAATACTCCCCCCATCTACTTTTGATAGTCATATTTCATCTTGGCACACAGACCAAGAATAAGTAATTCTACTTATCATCGATTTAAATATGCTACTAGTTATTCCTCGTAAATAAGCGATTCATTAATATTTACATTTCTCGATACCTATGTAGCCAATCTTGTGTGGAAGAATGAAGAGTCACGCATTAAATCTGAGAAAGCCATTAAAAGGATAGGTTGTTGGATTGAAATATGACTATCAAAAATAAATTTTTCAGATTTGGAAATATGACTATTAAAAATAGATAGAGGGAGTATAAGGCATGCATGCAATCAGACAATTAACTATGGCACCTTCTCTATTAAATTATTACTTTTTTAAATCATCCACTCTCATGTTATCTAATCCTATTGGATGCATACACTATATTTATTAGGATGATTTAAACTACAATATGATAATAATTATTTTCTTGTTCTTTGGGTTAAGGGTGGTTATGCCTTATATTTTAGAATGTAGGGAGTATAACCTTAATCTGCAATGGATGGAGCCAAGCACTGCGTACTTAGAAAAAGTTCAACTCGATTTCCACAAAAACAGATTGAACCTGACATATATCTCTCAATTGCAAAACCAGGTGTAAGAGTTTTCTCAAGTATTAGGATCAGTACCAAATGACTCCCAAGACTAGTGATGGTTTTCGCTAACGTGACGCCTACGCGACATATTGATATGGTTTTCGTGCTACTTGACAGGTACATGGTGCTAGAGTCAGCTAACAAAAAAAAATGGTGGTCCCACATGTCAGTCTCATGAAAATAAAAAATGGTGGGCCCCACATATCATCATCTCTCTCTTCCTCCCTCCCTCTATTTTATCTCCCCTTCATATCTAGCGCCAGTGTCAATCCCTATCTCCGTCATCGGTGACTAGTCGCGTCACCAAACATGGAGTGAAGGTGGTAGTGCAGAAAAACAGAGGAAAACAGATCCTACATTGACAGTGGTGTCGATTACCTTCTATCTCACGGGCGCTAGATTCGGTGAGGAGGCGTGCTCTGAGCGATGTGGTCCTAGCGGTGAGCTCGAGGTAGAGGCCGATAGAAGGGCGACAACGGACATAGGTGGTCGGGGTGCTCGAGGCAGCAATGGGTTGCGCCACCAACTATCGGGCTTCTTTTCCCGCCTCCCCTCGCCTCATCGCTGACTGCATGGCTACTAGGATCTATCACGACTAAAGATGGCAATGGGGCCCCGTTCCCCCATTTTACCGTGTGTCTACACAACCGGATCTGCCAGCACGGATTTCTTGGCCTCCTTATGCGTATGTCCGGAGAGTTGTGGTGAGCCCAATGAAGACGACCGCCCAACCTCCAACGAGCTCCCCTCGCCATCTTCTTCTCTCCACCGCCCGAAGCCTCTCTAGTTTGCCGTTGCGCCATTTGATTGTCTTGTGGAACTTTTCACCTCCCTAAGCACACCAATAAGCTCGCCTCCCTCTTCTCTCCATCTTGCTGTCAGTGGCATCCCTAGTCACAGTGGTCGGCTGTAGTGGAGGTGGAGCGCTAGTGACGGCCTATCTTTATTCGCCGGTGAGAGAGAGGAGGAAGAGAACAAGGGAGGAAAGGAGAGAGAATGACATGTGGGTCCCTAACTTTTTCTCTTGAGAGACTTACACGTGGGTCCCCCTATCTTTTAATTTCATTTTTTTTGGGGATTGGAATGGCTTGTAAGTGCCAAGTCACATAAAAGACAAGGCTAAAATGGTATACAGATGCTACGTAGGATAAAACCACCATGAAAACCATCCAAAGAGTTGAATTGAACGGTTTTAACAATTGAGGGGCCTATGGGCTTGTTTGGTTTGCAACCATGCCAAACTATTGGCAATGCCAAATCATGGGCAAGATTTTGCCAATGCCAATATTTTAGCAACATTTGTGTGGTATTGGTAAGTATTGGTAGCAAACCAAACATTGCCAAAATTACTGTTCAAAATACCAATATTTTGGTATGGCAAGTTTTGGCTTCAAACCAAATCAGCCCTATATTTGAGGGAGTCACAAAGGACTTTTTTGCGTACATACTACTCAGCAGTCAGCAAGCGTATGAAATGAAATCAGAGTGATGGGCCAGGCTCTTCGAATTCGGGACTTCTCTCCGTGTTGGGCCAATCGATCCAACACACATCCCTACTCATCATCATGGGCTGCAGGTTGATGCGACGCGCATGCGGCTTGGAATGAGAGAACAGCCCAGTCTTGTACTCTTGTGATGGTGGCTTCTTCTGGCTAAAACTCCGCTGCTGACCGCGTTTTTCCCACGCCGCACAGAGAAGCATCAGCAGCATGGGCTGCATCTGCATCCGCATGCATGGCTACCTCCCGCTTCCGGACGACGACGATGTTTGCTCTTCTGATGATATATTTTCCGTTCTTTTCCCGTGTCGTGTACAGGCGCTGGCGCTAGCTCCAGGTCACCAGATGTGCCATGCGTGATCGATGCGCCTGCATGAACGTCGCGATGAGGGACCCGTCCTCACGTGGGCGGTGGGCCGGCACGGCATATATA